AAGATGAATATTTAAGACCGTCATTTTTTATTCCATGAATTTAGCTATTTGCTATTCTTTTTTTTTGATCGGCTAAACAAAATCTATATTGATGAAACAAACAAAGTATGAAATATTACATCAATATAGAGGAGCTTAGAGCTAAGAAGAAGCTCCAAGCGCCCAGTTGGTGAGGCACCAACAAAGAAAGCAAAAGAATAAAAGAAAGCAACAAACAAAGTAACTGGAAGTAGACAGACTAAAAGAACAGCAACATTGCAGAAAAATTAAACCTCCACCATTGCAACAGATCAGAAGCCTTCCCAATCCTCCAAGGCACCCACAGACCAAAACAAAACAGCAGAGAGGGCTTGTTCTTTGGCCCAATAGAACTGACAGTAGGACCAGCACCCAGCATCACAAAACAGAACTGATCGGAGGCACCCACAGCAGCAGGCAGGGCTTGTGTTTTGACCAAAATGAAGCTGCCAGAACACAGATAGATCAGACCAGCTCCCAACACAGGTCTGCCAGTGGATTAATCAGACCATATGCAGTCTAACAGCACCACAGAACTGCATTGAGATGAACAAAGCCAACAAAGCCAAGCCGAGAGACAATGAAGAAGGCCTACTGATGAAGCTTAACAGAGAAACAGGGCAGAGAAATTGACTATCAACAGATCAAACACAAACCCAGCAGATCACCAGATCAACAGATCTGCCAGCAACTGACTTATCACCAGATCAACATCCCCAACAGATCAAACAGAAGCCCAGATCAGCAAAGGCAGCCCATCTAAAGATTTGAAATCCCAGCTCTGATTTGTCTCCAGTTGAAGGTTAAATCATCAACTGAGAAGGGAAGGTCCTTGATGCTTGCTTTCAGCCACAGTGCAGCTCTGACTTTGATAGTTTCACTCAAATCTGAAGTATTTGGTTGAGCCTCTTCAAAAATACATTCGTTCCTACACTTCCACAACGACCAAAGAACAATGAGCCGGATAGCTCTCCAAATTAATCTATCAAAGTGATTGAAGTTTACTCTCATCCACCATTGAAGAAGGCCATCAACTGAATCTTGAATGCACCAAGAAAGCCCCCATTCTTGAATAATTGAAGACCAAATCTGCCATGAAAAGGGGCAGTGAAGCAAGACATGTGTAGCTGATTCAGATTCAAAGCCACAGAAGGTGCAACTGATGGAAACAGATGGGTCTAAAATACCAATTCTGTGCATAAATTTTGCAGACTTAATTTTGTTCTTCCAAGCCAACCAACAGAAAAATGAAACCTTAGGAGGGACAGCTCTGTTCCAGATATTCAAACTAGCTTCTTCCTCCAATTCCCAAGAAAACATCGTTCTTCTAATGGGAAAATTCCAAGTATTTGGGCTGGTTTTCCTATCAAAGTATTGATGAAGAGAACCATCTTTATCAGTTGAGAGATTGAAAATGAGGGGAAAATCATTCTTAATACAAGTGTTGCCACACCATTTGTCATGCCAAAACTTGATTCTGTTTCCATCCCCCACTTTAATTTGACAATTATCCACATAGAAATTGAAAATATTATTGCAATGGTTCCCAATAGATAAGATGTCTTTCCACACTCTAGAATGTTTGTAGGAGAAACTTACCGGTGGATTCCAACAAGCCTCATCTATCTTGTATTTGCTACATAAAGCCCTCCTCCAAAGAGAATTAATCTGAGTTCCAAATTTCCACCACCATTTGAGCAATAGACATGCATTTACATCTCTTATTCTTCTAATGCCTAAGCCTCCTTGATTAATGCTTTTTGCGGCCTCCCCCCATTTCACTAGGTGGACTTTCCTTTTTAGGTCGTTTCCACCCCATAAAAAAGTTGATTGAATCCTTTCAATTTCTTTGGCCACACCTTCTGGCATCTTAAATAAAGAGAGATAATAAATTGGTAAACTAGATAAGGTGGACTTGATTAGTGTTAACCTGCCTGCAAAAGACAACAATTTTCGCTTCCACCCCGAGAGTTTGGATCTGAATTTGTCAAGCACAGGTTTCCATGTAGATTTTCTCCCGGGGTTGGCTCCAAGAGGTAGACCCAGAAATTTCAGAGGTAGGCTGTGGACTTGACAGTTGAGGAGCTTTGTAAAGGAGAGCAAGAGTGAATCATCCACACCAACACCACATACCACACTTTTGTGATAATTTATTCGTAGACCAGATAAAACTTCGAAGCATCTTAGAACTCTTTTAATAAGCACCATCTGATCCCAATCTGCTTCAGAGAAAATAATTGTGTCATCCGCAAATTGCAGATGAGACAAAAGAACATCCTTTGACCCAACAAGGACTCCTCTAAGTATTCCAAGATTAATTGCTCTGTTCAAAAGCATGTTAAGACCTTCAGATACAATATTGAACAGAAAAGGTGAGAGCGGGTCGCCCTGCCTAAGACCTCTTTGTGGTGAGAATTCAGTAGTGGGTGAGCCGTTCACAAGAATGGAGATCCTGACTGAGGTAATACAGGTTTTTATCCAGGAAATCCATTTGTTCCCAAATCCAAAATTGGACAGAAGGGAAAATAAAAATTCCCAATTCACAGAATCAAAAGCTTTTTCGAAATCTAGCTTTAAAATTATACCGAGCTTCTTGGACTTTTTCCATCCATCCACCACTTCATTGGCAATGAAAACCCCATCTAGGATATTCCTCCCGCCTATGAATGCAGTTTGTGTTTCACCAATGATGGAGGAAAGAATTGGCTTCAATCTATGAGGGGAAGAAGGCGTATACTAGGTGAAGTATTATCAGAAATGGAGGATGAATGCTATGGATTAAGCCTGGTGTCCAGTAACAGTTGCTCTTTTTAGTTCTGTGTGAATGCTCTATCAGTATTGGAGGTTGAATGCTATGGTCTTAGTTTGGTGTCCATTAACAGAAGCTATGTTTAGTTGTTTTGCTTAGCACCATCAGTTGGAAGATTTTGCGATACGAGGTTGCTGATTGCCTGCATGGTGGGGGTTTATGTTAATTTGGGTGCACTCTGGTTTTTCATTAGCTGCTGCTGAAAAGCAGTAGCTAATTGTTCAATGTTTTTCAATGTTTGTTGTTTTTTTAAGTCTGTTAATTGGATCCTTGGGTGTAGTGCTGGCATATGAGTGTGTTACTTTCTTGGTGCTAACCTAGTTGGGATTGTGAAGTGTAATTATGATGCTTGTTGCACCTCCCTTCTTTATTGAAGTAAGTTTTTTCGTTTGTAAATCTTCTTCTATCAATAAAGTTTAACTTTTGCTGATAAAAAAAAAAACTTTAATCTAAAATTAAAATAAAATAATTTTATACAAAATATTTTTAATGATTGTAAGCATTAATTCATGGATATGTCATCACTTACTAAATACATCAGCGCTCCAATCACATTATTTTGTACGATCATTTATTTTTTTTAATTTATTTGCTTCAACATTACTTTTTATTTTATTTGTTCATTGCAAAATTATTTAAAGAGCTTCACATAACTCTTCAAATGTTGTTATTCTAGAGAAAAAATGTTAAATAACTATTGTAGTTATTAGTTTGTTGAAGAGAGTAAAATAAGTCGTGACCAACAACAATAGCTAATTGGTCTCTTTTAAAAATCCGTTGACAATACTCAACTGAAGACAAATATAGAAATTCTCAAAAACATAAAAATAATTATTATAAATGTTAAGATGGATTTATAATTCATAATAATAAATTAAAAAATATACTAGTTGATTGACTCTAGGCGTATGTACTTTTTTTTTTCGTTTTATAGTTGCGCATAACTGTTTTTATAATATTATGTCGAAGGACCAATATAGACTAACATTTTTAGACCTAAACAATTTATGAAAACATTTTTTAAAATATAAATATTAGTTTTATTATTAGAGCTTAGGGAAAATTTGACTATTTTAGTTTCACGAACAGCTAAATTATGCAACAACAATGAAAATGAAGGTAGAGTTATGTAGTAGTCTTTCATGAACCAAACTCTTCCTTTGAATATAAAGTTAATATATTTATCTAAAATATTCATACACATTAATTTTATTTTATTTTTTAAAAAAACGTTTGTAAATAAAGTTTTATATATTTTTTACAATCGATTAGGAATTAAAAAATGAATTTGTACCTCAACCAGTTTTGAAGTATAACAATTTATATATGCATCCACTTATAAAAATATTTTGAAAAAAATAAAGTTAGTAGACTCTACATTTTGATCCCCGTGATTTCATGTTCAAATCGGCACTAAAAAATGGCTTGATTTGAAGTCACCAATGAAGGTTTGAGTTGAAAATGACTAAATCTGAAAGTTACCAGTAATTAATGGTATGAAAACAAAGGAAGAAGATCGTGAGAAGTGTGAGGCGAAAACAAATGAAGAATTGTGGTGGTGTGCAAATCAACGACAATAAAGTATAGATGGACAATAATGAAGGTGATTGGTGAATGGCGGTGACAACCAAACAATGACAACGATAGTGATGGCCAAATGATGATGGCGGTGATGGCGAGTGAACAACATAATGACGGTGGTGTTATTCAACGATGACGGGAGATGGTGGTGGTGTGGCGACTATGGCTAGTGGTGTGAAACTCTCTAGAAAATGATAGGGAGTGAGATCACTAGAAAAATAGTAGTGAAAGACAGAAAGAAAGAAGAAAAAGATGAATAATTTTCTTGAAAAATGAGAGAACAAGAGTGAATATAATATAAAAATAAATAAATCTAAGGACAATATAAGTATTATAAAATTTATTGGTGCATTTAAAAAGTTATGAGAATTTATAAGAATTTAAGTCCATTTAAATAGAAGTATTTGGTAATTATCTTCTTTTTTTTTTATTTTTTTTCTTTCCTTTCTTAATTTTTTTTAATTTTTTTTTTTTGAGAGAGCCCAACCCAGATTCCAGCCGTAAATGTACGGAAATGGGCTACCTTCAATCGATCCAGATTCCAGCCAGCCCAATCCAACATAGACCCTATATATATATATACTTATATAGATTTGCTGCCACGTTTCTATGAGTCCACCGAGTGGATCACAGAATAGTGGGTCTCGCCGGAAAAGCTCGGTTCATCGCCGGCGGTGAGTGAAATGGCGTTGTCGACATTGAAGCTCGTGAGATGTTGTCTCCCTCCGACGGTCGGAGCAAATGAGACAACTGTCAAGAAATCTCTGCTTCCTCATCAGGTTCAATTCAATTACTTACTAATTTCTAGGACCCTTTTCGTGTTCTTATCAATTTGTGACTTGTGATCCATAGTGGTTCCATTAATACACTGATTTGTTTTGTGGGTATTGGATAGTGGTGACTAATCTGGATAGTTTTATCTCTTTCTCTTCCTCTTATTTGTATTATTACCTCATAATTAGGTTATCACCTTTTAATGTATCTGTATCCTCACAAATTAGATTATCACTGTAAGGTTTTGCAGTGACTGTATATTTGATTTTTCAATGTTGGGCTACTTAGGCTGTGTTTGGATCAATTTGAGTAGGTAACATTTCCTTCATATTTTTTTTTTCTCTTTCCAAATCCCTACCCACATTTAGCTCAGTATTAGTGTCTTCCCTTTTTGTGTGTATAGTAGGAATTGAACATTAAATCCCAGTCCACTTCTACAAAAATCTTTAGGATGTGTTTGTATCTTAGATTCGAAGAAAGATTTGTTAAAAAAGGAATGGAAAAATAATTAAAAAAATTCGTTTCTATTTCATTCACTTTTCCTTTACAATTTCTTTTTCCTCTACAATTGCTCCTCAAATCTAAAATCCAAAAACAACATTATGGTGGTGCTAGGCTTTGGGAATTTGGTAACCCCGATAGCTATTTTTGTAGGCAATAATGAAATGCTTGATTAGCATTTCTGTAATGTAAGCATATGCCAAGTGCCAAACTCTTGTTAAGTTACTGTGATCACAACTTTGACAAGTAGTAGGCATTTTGCCCTTAAGTGTTTAATAACCAGCACAAAAATATAATTTTGGAAAACAGAAAAGGTTAAATTGTTGTTAGGTCATTTTTTTTTTCAAAGAAAGTTTATGAAACATGGTTGCTAATGACTGGAAACTTTTGAGAACATGATTTTTTAGTTATCTTGGTTCTTTTTAACCAAGGCTTTGCTTGTTTCAAAGTAAAATGTTTTCTTGTAGAAGATTTAGGAAGCGCCGGCCAAAAAAAAAAAAATTTTTTTTGAATTTATAATGCAATTAGACGGAGGACTTTTATTTTTTTGGGGTCTGAAAGGATAACATCATGCTAAAGATCAGGCTACCATTCTTTCTTTATAACGGCATTGCACTCTGTACATCATCTAGGACTACTCTTCCCCAACACTCTCCCCTTCGCCATAAGCTTATCGCTGCTCCAACCCCTCATTCTCAAGTTTGTTCTCTTTCCGTCTTGTTTCCCTGGATTTCAGTTTCTCTTGATCATTCCTAAATGAGCTTCTATCAGCATTTGTTGCCACAAACAACAAAAACTTCCGTCAACTCTACCTTTTTTCTATACGTACACTGGTGCATCAACCTGGATTTGGGTGCATGCCTTACACTAATGGCCTGATATCTTGGCATAATAAACTCAATTAAAGTTTTAGAAAGTGCACTTTATTTGAGCTCTCACACTTCCACCTTTGATTTTGCCACTTACACATCAGGATGAAAAGGGGGACTGACTGGGTGTACCAGGTTCATGTAAAGTCTAAAGAAGGTTGTCTTGTTCAATTGAGGCTTGCACATAGAAATTTTAGAGAAATGTTAACTCTGTTTTGCTGCAAAGGAGAATATATAATGTAATTGATGATCTCGCTGGTTTAGAAGGTGCAGCTAGCAATAGAAACAATCTCCGATCAGATTTTACCAACTGAAGAGATTAACCCTATCACAATCTCTCTCCTTCCCATATCTCTCCTTTTGGGATGTTAAAAATGTTGAGTGGCTAAAAAGGTTTAATAGCTAAAATCAACTTATTGATTTTTAGACCCTAAGTCATGTAGCGAATTTATTTTTTGAAAAACATTTAAATTGGATTCTATTTAACCAAACACTGGAAAATGTGTAAAATATTTTATAGGAAAGCGTTATACATTGAAACAAACGGACCACTTATGTCTTGTAGAAATCGTCATCTTCGGACTGCACTTGAAGTAAAATGTTATGTGGGAAAATATTTTGCTTGTACCAAACAGCTGAAAATATTTGGCTTGAAAAAGAATTTTCAAATGCAACCAAACATAGTCAAATGAAAAGGACATTAATATTTTTGTGCAAAATATTTTTACCTAAAATATATTTTTTGGGGTAAGAAATATTTTACGATGAAACAAATGGAGCCTCAAAAGGAAAAAGAAGAAAGAAACAGAGGCAATAACACAACATTATGGTCTTTTAAAAAATCTGGCCTTGTTAACTCAAATTCTTGAAACCAAATTCTGAAGACAACAAACGAAAAGCAAAATTTTGATCTTTCTATGCATTGTATAATTCTGAGAAATATTTCTACTTGTTCTCCCAAACAAACCTTAGAAACTTTGTAGGGTTTGCAACTTTTGGCCTATATAGAACTAGTGTTATTGACATTTAATAGTGACCTTTTTTTTTTTCTTTTTTTTTGTAATTTTCTTTTCATATTTCTTTATGTGTGGATTGAGAGAAATCATTTGAATTGATTAGAAATCTCTTCTTCATTATGGCATTTTTAACATTTATGTTATTCTCTTCTCAATCTTCTCATGGACCAAAAGGAAATCTAATATTCAGTAGAAAGCAATAGAGAGGACTATGGAATGGTCATAACAATGTTGCAAAATTGAATACATAATTATATATATAAAAAAATTAAATTAAATATCATACTTGCTTAACAATAGAAATGTACAAGCTATACTAAAATGCAATACACATTGAAGATGATGCATATTGGTGACTAAAGTTTTGAAAAAACCCATACAAGTAATATATAAGTTGGGCTGCATTTAGGAGCTTTTGCAAGTTTAGCACCTCAAAATACCAATGCATAAGGTGGAAACAGGAACTGGCAATATAAGTTCCTTTTTCTTCACTTTAAAAGAAGAAAAACTCACTTCTCATTCCACCAATTGTGTCATTTATTCTTGTGTCATTTTCTTTTCCTGGATTTTAATTTACTTGTTGATGGACTTATTTCATCCATTGACAAATCACAGCCGAATGGCTTGGGTATCAGAACTGTGCATTGAAGTTAGTTCGTTGCATTTTTTACAGATTAATGGGATTGTAATAGGCATGGTGGACCCTTTTTTGAATGAGGTTGTTGTTTCATTACTGTTGAGTGACTACCATATTTGTTAATTTTCTAGATAGGTTCATGCATCATTTTCTTTATTTCATGTAGTAATAATCCAAATTTTATTGATGACATTCCAGTTGTATCGTGACCTTTAAAAACCATGGTTGTGCCTCTAATCCATGTTGATTTACAGTCAGAGTCGGCTACTCTGCACCCAATTCTCTGAATTGATCCTCCGTCTATGACTCTGTATAGAGAGGCACGGCGCACTTTCCAATCTATTGCTTTTTTTGTGGCTCTGTTATTATTCTACAGGGGCTTGTTTCTCTTCCTACAATCCTGCATGAACTTAGATTTTCCTTCCCCAACATTTTTGGCATGAACTTAGATTTTCCTTCACCATGTATATGACTGTATCGCCAATACCAATACGATTATTGGGTTATTGTGAAATTGCATTATTGGAAGTGTGTCAGTCTTCTTTGTAAAGGCCAAAAATTGGTTTTGGTCCTGCCAAAAATCAGATTTATTTTGTTTTCTTGAATCAGATTAACCGCTGAAGATTGTTTTGTTTCAACTGTTGAAACTAAAATGGTTGATAATGCTGGATAGGTATGTCATTCAATGGTAGTGATGACAAACAGAATGTCGTGATTTGTGTTCGAGTTGCATTAATGATGCCATCCCTTCCGCTTTGTTTCAGGTAAGAAGCAAGGAAGAGCAAGAACGAGAAGCGCCTAAAGCCTTATTTACTGTTTCACGTAGAGATACGTTGCTGTATTTAGCTGCTGTGTCTCTGAGTGGGGTAACTCTTATGTCAACAAGACCGGTTGAAGCACGTGTTGGGAAGATTGAGAACAAGAGGAAGGCAATGAAAAAGCTCGAGAAGCTCAGGGAAAAGGCTGAAGAAAAGACCACCCAGGCCTCCAATACCCCTGCCACCAATGCCGTCGCCATTTCCAGGTTCTGAAAGAAACCCAGCTGAGCGTTCAGTCTGAACAACTCTCCAATGATGGTAACGATCCATGTTGGTAATTTGTTGTAGTGAGTAGCAGGACGTTTATTTGCCAGAATCTCAAGTTTCCAAATCAAGCATCCACGCAAAGCAGTCATCTAGATTTTTACTTTTATTTTTAATTTTTTTAATTTTAGTGAAGTGTAAAATTTTTAGCCAAACTGAATTATTCCAGCTTGTTTGTCTAGTTTTCTTTTTCTTAGATTAAAAAATTAAAAAATAATAATAATAATGAAATGTTTTTGTAACACAATAATTTTTGTGGTGTTTTTAGCGCAATATTGATTTATTTTTTGCACCCTTTGTTTTTTGGTTGCGCTTATAGGAAGTAAATTTTTTTGTGTGGTGAAATGAGAAAAGCCCTAAAAATGGGTTTTCTTTCGTAAACTCAACCAAACAACTCTAGTTTCCTTAGATTAAAAAACTCAAATATAAGTGCAACATCAAAACAAACACAAAGGCACATACATATCATAACCATCCATTAATGCAGGCAAGAGAACTTTTATAAGTGCATAAAAATAAAGTATAAAGTCAACTATTACAAAAGCCCTTGGGCATCCACTAAAAAATGCAAAACGGGAAATTAATCATTTTCTCTTCTTTTATTTTTATTTTTTTTGTGGGAAAAAAATAAAAAATAAAAAAAACCGAGAAAACAGTTAAGCAGTCTTTTTGTTCATGTTGGTAACAAGCTGGCGCATCTGAAATCTCCAAAAGAAGAAATAAACCATTCCCAACCCAATCAAAATATAGATCCAAACATTGTCTTCTTTATTTTCCTCCTCTGATTCTATCTCCACTATACTAAACTCCTCTCTTTCTCCATTTCCATGAATACCCTCGTCCACATGCCCATATAACACATATACCCTCTCATTCCCTCCTACAGTCACCGAAGTCGCGAACCTCCCAGCCTCGAGGGCAGTTTCGTCAAATACCGCTCCCTCCGACCAACTACTATCGCTCTTAATAAAATACGCCTTGTGCTGAGAAACCACCACCACCACGCCGTCACTTCTGACGGCGATTCCGTCCGCCGCCGTTAAATCCTTGTTCAACAGTACAGTTCGTGCGGTTCCGTCTTCTGCGTTGACTTTGAACATCTTGCCTGTGTTCGTCTGGACCACGAGAAGGTATCCTTTGTTAATGTAAACGACGCCGTTTAGTCCGCAGAAACTGTACATTTTGCCGACCTCAACCGGATGGGAAGTGAATGCTTGAGATCTGGAAAACACGGAGGGCTCGCCGTCGACAGTGACCTTCCAGATGAAGTTTCCGGCAGCGTTGGTGACGTAAGTGTTGCCAGAGAAGTCGACGGCGACGTCGTTGGCGATCGGACGGTCGTCGGATGTGGTGGGATCGTGGAGGAGGGCGAGGAAGAGGCGTCGGCGATCGGGGGATCGGAGGTCGTAGGCAGCGAGGGCGTTGAAGGAGGGGAGAGGAGGGAAGGAGTGGAGGACGGCGAGGAGGCGGCGGCGGAGCATGTCGACGGAGACGCCGAGGACGGTGGTGTTGGGGGGAAGGGAGGGGTCGAAGATGAGGGTGTCGACGACGGCGGCGTCGGAGACGGAGAGGAGAGTGCGGTGGCGGAGGGAACCGACGACGAAGTGCTGGGCCGTTGGGTCCCAGGAGAGGGACTCCGGGTAGAGGTTGGGGGATCGGAAATTGATGACGTGGGGTTTTCTGGCGAAAGTTGGGCTCACAAAGGCGAAGAAGAAGAAGAAGAAGAAGAAGCAAATTAGGGATGTTTTCAGAGACATGATTGTTGTTGTTGTTGAGTTCTATCTGTGTTGCATTGAGTGGAATTGGGTTGAGGAGGGTTACCTTTTTTATGCTTCTCAATTTTATTTCTTGGAGGAAAAGTTTTTTTTTTTTAATTATCCATTATCAAAACTTTATAAAAATATTTTCCTCTAAGAAGGACCAAACCAAATTTTGTTCAACTTGGGATTTAGATTTGTTAAATTGTATTAAGAATTAAACTATTGAAATTTTTAATTTGTGTTTTATGTTATGTTTAATTTTGTTTTTATTTTTATTATTATTTTCAAATATTTATTTTTTTGTTTTTAATTATAAAAAATTCTGTATATTATTTTTTAAAATAATTATTATGTACATGTTGACGTAATATAAATTTTTATAAATTGAACAATGTTCACTAAGTTGATGAGTTTGGGATCAACTTAAAAAATAAATAAATAAATTATTTTTATTGATTTGTTTTCAATTTATTTTTTATTTTTTATTTTTGAATTGGAAAAAAAAAGACCTTCTGTGAGGCATTATACTATCTGTGGACCCTCTGGCGTATTTGGTTGTCAGTTAGATTTAATACAATTTATAAAAATGGATCTACTACCGAGACATTTAGTTCTTAACACGCACCACAGAATAATTTAAATTTCGATCGAAATATAACAATTTAAATTTCGATCGAAATATAACGCAGAGAATCTGTGTATTGAGAGAGCATATCCATAGAATTTGAACCTGACTCACCCTCGTAAAAAACCTACATCCTCATAATTTAAACCTGACTTCCCCTTGTAAAAACACAATACGCTGTTCACGAGTCCACTACACCACCCCTGGTGGTATTTTCTTTTTTACTTTGAGATCTATTCATAAAGATCTAATAAGGTTAAAAAAATAAAAAATAAAAAATAATTATGAAGTGTGACATATTTTGATTTTTTTTAATTCAATAAAAAATAAGAAATAAATAAAAAACAAACTAACTAATTCTTAGGAGTGTTTTGGCATTTTTTCGGTTATGGTCATTTCTTTATTTTTTTATATTAAAAAAGTCAAAAATTTATAAAAAAAAAAAAAGTCAAAAATGTTAGCTTTTTATTATTTTTCCAAAAGAAGCTGACTTTTTTTTTTTTTTTTTTTTTAAGCCTTTTCACTTTAAGGCCTCATTTGGCATGTATCTGTTTTAGTTTAAAAGTTAAAAAATTATTTAAAAAATCAAAAAATCTGTAACTTATATCAGAAAATTAAATATTCGATTTTATCTTTACTTTTTATATATCTTTTCGTAAATATTTTAGTCAAAAAATTAAAAAAAATACTAAAATAATATGTTTCCAAACGAGACTTTAATATAAAAAAATTAAAAAAAAAATGATATGATTCAAAAAAAAAAGTTAAAAAACTAAAAAGCCAAAACACTCCTAAGGAGCATCAAATTGACTAATTTAATTTTTAATTTTTAAATTAAGATTTTTTTCATTGTGCTTTTTTTGTGAGGTTGATTTCACGGTCTGATTTGCTGGATGACAAATGTGGTCTATTCATTTGCCGGCTTCTTCTACGACTGCTACCATTGTTTTCAATTTTTGGGTGCTATCTATTATCTAGAAACTTTTTTTTGTAGAACCTTTTTCAACAAGAAAGATTAGTTACATTTACAAATTACAATTTCATTTCTCTTAAAAATAAAATAAGATATATTACACAAATTCATTCTCATAACCTTACGAACAATTTTTTTTTTCTTTTCTAATAGGGAAAAAATAATAATTAATTGCTAGATTAGTAATTGAAGAAAAATTTAATTAAAATTTGAAAGAGTTTCATTCAATTAGAGAGTTGTATATATTAATAAAAACTATGATAAATTTGTCAGTTAACACTCTCAATCAATTGGGCCCTTTCCCCACCTCAACTACTTGAGTTCAGATCCTTTCCTTACAATGCCTCTTTCCAATCCTCCTTGCAATGGCTGAGATCAGCCGTTGCACATCCAACGGCCATAATAAAAAAATTAAAAAAAAAATTGAAATTTCACTTTATTCTCGCCCGTTGCTATAGTTATACATTCAAGCAGAATCACTTGAGTTCGAATCACTCTCACTCTCACTTTCACTTTCACTTTCACTTTCACTTTCACTTTCACTTTCACTTTCACTCAGCCTCGCACTCACCCGTCCTCCTCCATCGAACCCACCCTCACTGGCGACTGGTCCCCTAGATGGCATCGACGACCCACTCCAGCCCTAATATTCTTTGCTTCATGAACCATAGCTCCACCGCGACCACCATCGACTGAGCGAAGAAATTTGTTGATGAGAACGTGGGTGCTGAAGCCATAGAGGAACTAGGTTTGTATTCGAAACTCTGAAATTAAGAAGTTAGGGTTGTGTGATTGAGATTGACAAAATAGATTTGAAATTTCAATATTAGGGCTTTGATTTGGGATTGGAACAGTGAAAAATTAGGGCTTTCACAGTGAAAAAAATTTGGGCTTTCACAATGACAAAAATTAGGGCTATCACAGTTTTCGACTGAGATTTTGTGGGTTTTGGATGAATTAGTTTGTCAAATTGATTAATTTTGTACTTGATTTTGTAAAGAATTGTTGTAGAGTTCCTGTGAAATTATATCCATGACACTAGTTTAAACTTAAGTTTTCAAATTATAGTTGAAAAACTAATTATAGTTGCACTTAAGTTTTGTGATTGAAATTAGTTTGTTCTGTGTTTGAAATTATAGTTGAACTAATTATCCATGACAATAGTTGAAATTATAGTTGCTCCATATATAAACAACTGGAGTGAGTGTTTTATGTTGTTATATGCTATTTTAGCACTGCTAACATCTGTACTAATCCAGTACAGAATTCAAGCATAGAAACCAATACTGAAATATAAACAGGACCCCAAATAGCAAACTATGTGCAAATTGAACATTGAATAAGTACCACCAAAAATAAATTTCTGTTAAACTTATAGTTGAACTAATTATCCATGACACTAGTTTGTTCTGTGTTTGAAATTATATCCATTAATGCTATGTTCTGTGTTTGAAAAAGTAATTATCTACTTTGGGTAGAATAAATGATAAAATCCTAGTAAGTTACAAATCAAATGAAAGTGAGTTAAGAACTAGGTGTTTCATTGGCTTCAATGAAAGTGAGTTAAATCAATTCTTGACAGATGTTACAATTCTCCAAGAATAAGAAAAAGAAAAAATCCAGTCACTCTCAAATAGAAGCAGGTCCTGACAACATAGCAAGTGCTGACATTGTTCCACATTGTAGTTGTTCCACATTGTAGTTGAAGATTGTTACTCGAGCTGTTACACTAATTGTTCCACATTGTTCCATTTTCAGTGAAGATGTTTTTCAGTTTGGCTCAAATTCAAATAGCCTTTACACTCTGTCCCTCTCTTCTATGGAGCTGCCATTTAAAAAAGTTCTCATGTATGCAGATTTAAAAAATGGCTTCTTCTTCTAACATTAGCAACATAAGATTACAACCGAGGCTGTGCAATTGTGGAAGAACCGCTACCATACATATTGTAAGAACCAATGAGAATGGAAATCAAGGGCATTTGTTCTTTGTTTGCCCATCAAAATATGTAAGTTTGTATTGGAAAATTTCTTCCTTTAGTAGTCACATTAATATTTGTCTTATTCAACTAACTGATTCTCATGCATTGCAAAGTAACATTCCTACTCCCCATTGCAATTATTTCAAGTTCGTGAATGAAGATGATGAAGACGTTACGTTTAAAATCCGTTCCAACAGTACAGCTTGTGATGGTATAACAATAAAAGACTAACGGTGTAAGGACGAGGCTTGATTACATGGAAAATGACTATGGTCGAAGGCTTCAAATGATGGAAAATAATATCAAAGAGATGGCGTATTTCATTGTATTTTCTATCATTTTGTACTTTATGATATAACTTTTGTACTTTATTGTATTTTGGGAAACTGAATGGAAGTTTGTATCATTTTGGATTTTATGTACTTCATGATGTAACTTATGTTTATGTACTTTGGGAAACTGAATGGAAGTTTGTACCATTTTGCCCTCAACTTGTTATCTGTTATCTGTTATGGAATGAACTATGGAATGAATTAACATTTGTTGATTTCCCTCAACTTGTTATCTGTTATGAAATGAATGATGGAATGAATTTGGGGAAACATTTAACTTGCTATCTGTTATGGAATGAATTTTGGGAAACATGTGGCCTCAACTTGTTAGCAAGTTCATTTTGGGAAACATATGCCCTCAACTGGTTCTGAGTATGCCAGCAGCATGATGATCATCATTACTTACTTAAGTTTATCTATTAAGTTTATATGTTATGGTTTTATCTGTTAGCAAGCATGTTATGGTTCTATCTATTAGTAAACATGTTATGGTTCTACCTGTTAGCAAGCGTGTTATGGTTCTGAGTATGGCAGCAGCATGAAGCTCTTGTAGAACTAGATGACAGCAGAACAAACACGATATGGTTTAACAGCAGTAGCATACCAGATTCAACATTGGCACCAACATGTTATGGTTCTTGCAGCAAATCCAGCATACCAGAACCAGATGACAGCGAAACCGGCAGAACAGATAACAGCATGTTGGTTCTGGATCTGGTATACATGTTGGTTCTGTTGGCATGTTATGGTTCTAAGTACGGTAGCAGCATGAAGCTCTAGCAGAACCACATGACAGCAACACCAACATGTTATGGTTTAACAGCAGCAACATACCAGATCCAACATTGGCACCAACATGTTATGGTTCTAGCAGTAGATCCAGCATACCAGAACCAGATGACAGCAGAACCAGCAGAACAGATAACGTCATGTTGGTTCTGGATCTAGTATATATGTTGGTTCTGTTAACATGTTATGGTTCTGAGTATAGCAGCAGCATGAAGCTGTAGAAGAACCATTTATCAGTATGGCACATTTTGGTTTAACAGCAGATCCAGACCAGAACCGGCAGCGCATTTTGGTTTAACATGTATGGTTCTATCATTATCATTAGCATACTGGAACCAACATGTATGGTTCTATCATTAACATACTGGA